GTGTGGTAGAACCCAGAATCAAAGCACAGGTCTAGGCAGGGAATACAATATACAAGTCATTAACACACTGATGGTAATTGACATGTAACCATATGAAAAAAAATAAATTTGAATTGTTTAAAAAAAACACATTGCTTGACCTTACAAAGAAGTTTAAGAATAGGTTAAGGTATCCCTGGCTTTTCCTAGTAAGGAATGAGTGTATTTTGGACACTTATGAATTATTGACTTTGTGTCAACAGTCAGTAAAATGCATTTAAGTTCAGACTACAATAACAGCATATCATAGGTTTGATACCCTTAAAATCATTCATTTGCAGAAAGAAATCACATTGTTCTTTCAGGTATTTGTATTCATATCCTGTACTTTACAAATTGGATATGAGATTCAGGTAGGGGCCTGAGAAGTTAGAAATTTGAGGCATGAAAAACAATGAGTTTATGATTGAACCAGGACAGTCAAGGGTGAAATTAAATAGATTAAGGAAGTCCACTTCCAAGTTTCAGCCATCATCAGCTAACCTGTCTCTCCTGTGGCAGACAGATTATCCATACACCATAGAGTACAGGATCAGCCAGGCCCCAAATTGCTTTCGAGTCTTTGCTTTGATCTGCATTTGGATATTTTGCATATGCAATGCATCCTTGGCATTTACATCGAAAATTACCTTTTTCAAAACAATTATGAATATAATCATGGTTTTAAAATACTTTTGAGCATTTCAAAATGAATTACAATTTTTTGAAAAATCATCACTCCCAAACAACATTAGGTTACTGAGAATATTAATAGATTAGTTTTATGTGTCTAAGTAATCTGTCTTGATAAAAGTTATGAAACTTCATTTTTTTTAAATTTCTTTTTTGATTTGGTTAAAATTAAATACAGTATTTGCTAGATATGAAGATATCTTAATGGGATGATTTGGAACATACTGGAAGAATAAAACTTGGCGGTATGGGGTCAGTATCCTTAAAAAGAATCAGATAAGCTTTTTTCATTCGTGCCCATAGTGGGCCTCTTGTCACTGAGATATTGGAACCAGAAGTCAACCAATTTTCTGTGAGTCTCAGGACCTTTATTGCCATCACTTAAAGAATGCAGATTGTTTTGAAATGAGAGCTATGAAAGCCTTGGAGACTGAGAAGTTTTTGTCCTCATCTGAGTCTTTGGCCCTTCTCTGACTGATGAAGAAGTTATGACTCTACTCTTTTACCCTTTTCCTAATGGAAGAAGCAATCACTACTCCTCCCACTATTAGAACCTACAAGAATATATTGTAGGGATTGTTACCTAGGTGCAATACTATCAAAGAACATCTTCTTTCTTTTTTTTTTTTCAAGATTTATTTATTTATGAATACAAGAGCTGGGCTACAGGCCAGAGGCACAGGGGGTGAGAGGATTCACTAGAGACAGAGTGGGGGACAGAACAGGAAGATTGAACAAAGTGCATGCTGAGGGGAGCAGCAGGCGAGTCTGCTGCGCCATGTGGGTTGCTCTGTGGCTGGCTGGGAATCGAACTTGCGCTGCAGTGGCTGCAGATAGCTTCATAGGTTGCCTCTTTTTTTTTTTTTTTTTTAATTTTCTAGAGGCATGTCTTATTTATTTATTTATTTATTGTTTGTTTGTTTGATACATGCACTGGGTACAGTCAGAAGCGTGGGAGGGTGAGAGAATTCACCAGAGCCAGAGCGGGGAGCAGAGCAGGCAGAAGGACCGAAGTACACTGCTGCAGGAGAGGTCTGCGCGCCATGTGGGACCCTCCTCTGGTGGCCGGGGAGCAGCCGGGGATCGAACCGGCTGCAGAGGCTGCAGGCAGCTTCGCAACCCAGCGCTCAACCGCTGCGCCACCGGGGAGGCCCCATAGGTTGCCTCTTAACACTTGCAACACCAAGGAGTCCCCAAAGAACATCTTCGTTCTATTTAAAAATCCTATCTTTACTCCTTCTTGTTTATCATTTGAAGCATCACCCTCTCTCTCCTTGAGAAAGCAGGTCCACAACACAGAGTAAATATCATTGGTATATTCCATTATTCTTTAGTATTTGCTGTTATTAAATTCTCCATACATACATTCATGTATTATTATTTTTAAAATTTTCCTCCTAATAATCTGCATGACTTTTATTTCTTAGTCCAGCTACCCTTAAAAGAACCCAGATAGGGTGAGGGAAGTTTCCCTGCTCCCTAAGTGTGTAAGTCATCAAATTAGTCCAGCTGTGAGTAAATGTGACTGAGCTTCTACTCTCAGAATGGTGAGGGCACAGTGAGAATAGAGACTTCTGAGGAACTCTCAGGCAGGGATGTTCAACGGACGATTACAGCTGGGTTGACCATATTTCAGAAAAATCCAACATATTTCCCTGACAAATTCCAGAATGGTTTGCAAATACTAAGATAAGTATAACACAGACTTGATCTGAAATAGTTCTTATAAGAAGCATACACTATTTTTTTTTTTTTCCAGTGAGGTAACTCATTCAATGGACTATAGTGTTTATTGCAAGATGTCAAAGAGGCATTTAATTTAACACTAACAACAAAGCGTTTTGATAAATTCTTGAAAGAGAAATAGAAGTTAACCAGAGGAAGAAGAAGCATATGGGCATTTTAGCATATGATATAGCAAACATTATTTTGATTTGTTAAGGGTAAAGAAAAATGACAAATGAAAGGGTAAGAGAGTTAGGTGGTATTAGGCTACAGAGAGTTATATTTGATTTAACTTTATAAAAAAGTTATCCATAAATTTGATAGTAACCAACTTGGGAAAAGTATTGAAATATTTAATATGTATGCTCAAATGTCCTCTTCTTTTTCCTTCCTCCTTAATACCCGACCATAAAAAAATAGTTATCGATTAAATATCTATTCCTTTACTAATATTCAAACAAAAATATATGGCAGTTTTTCTTGCGCTCTGCATCTCTTTAGCCATGATAGTATACATGCATATGTATACCTGTATATATCCATCTATCTATGTAGGGAAGAGAGAGAGAGAGAAATGTCTGGTAATCGAAGAATTGATTCTTGTACGACCTGATTCGGTTTTCTTAGGTTTTCTTTATTGTCTCCTTCACAAATTGCCTCTGCCCTTTTCTTATCCTGTTTCCACTCCCTATGTTGTCTTTTTTTTCTTTTAATATTTGTGTTGATTGTGAATTTATTAAAGAATTGGCTGTGTGTGTACCACATTGTATACACCTGTGTGGTTGTCTTCTTATATCTTATCTTCAACCCTCTACACCCAAGTTCCTTGAAGAAATGGAGTGTTAATTTCCCCCCATGCTTAATGCACAGCAATTTATTCAGAATTTTGTCATACTAAATGAATAATTTTGGATGTATAAAGGAAGAAAATACTAGATGAACAAAATATTAGGTGAAAAATATATTATGACCTGTGGTATGGGCATTTTCATAGAATAGGTGAAATATCTAGTTCTCCTAAGAGAAGCAGAGATTTTCCAGGCAAAGAGAGAAATGAATCTATATTAAGAAAAAAAAAGTTGCATGAAAATACAATTAAGGAAATTTAAGGAATCGGATGTGACTGAAGAACATTGAGCTTTCTTATAAGTTAAAAATGTTAAGACTATATCATGAAAAAATTTACGTAGTATCCAGTTTTTTTTTTTTTTTTTTTTTTTTTTAACTCCAAAGAAACATGTAAGTGTTTTGTGTGGAGAAGTACCATTTGAATATGTGCATGAAAATAATTCTTGTTTAATGAATAGGATGACAATGAAGTTTCTGGCAGATAAGTAAGGAAATCATAAGTATAGGGGTGCAAATAGTGAGGGACTGTGCTCTGTCAAAGGTCAGAGTAATGAGCATGAGTTATTATAAATCTAAAAATGTGACTTGAAACTGAATATTGTCAACGATGAAGAGAGCATAATTGTAGAGCTCTGAAATTTTAAGTTTCATTTGAGAATGTATATACTTTATAATAGACAATAATTCTTGTCAAAGGCAGGCGAAACTTTCATGTTTTAATCACCATGGATATAATAGCTCACAATACTATTTATATGTTCATTATCATGATACTTGGCAGGATATTAGCAGTGTTTGAAATAATGAATTAGTCATCACTACTGATTGACAGGCACTGTTTTTAAGGATTTCTTCAACATAGAATAATGGACTGTTCATTAATAATTTGTATTTACCTTTCCATAGGAAACATGAATGTGGTTTATGTTATTTTCAAATCTATCAATGATAACTTTGAAGATGTTAATGACATTTATCATTATCAAATTCACGTGTTAATATTAGATTAGAAGACCTGGTATAATGATTTATATAGTTCCTTTCCATAAATCATTGTGATATAACTATTAATGTATAATGTTATTCTTATCTTTAAATCCTCACTAAATATATACATATATTCTTTCTTCCTTTCTTTCTTTCATTTTTTCTGATCTGCTTCCATTGATGACTCTATACTTTGACTCCAGACTGGCAATATGAGGGTAAGATGACAAAAATAAATCCCAAACAACCTCATGAGCATTGCTTGTCTGTCTTTGTTTCATTCTCTTTAAAACATTATTAAAATTCTATTCACTCTCTTTAATTAGACCCTTTATCACAATTAAAGTCCAATTATGTTTGTTTCTGTTATGTAGCTTTAATTACAATTTATCCTTGTTAATCATTCCTTTATGTTATTTCTTTGAGTTAAATTACCATCCCATTATCTCTACCCTGAAGGTCTTCTGCTTTCCAGTGGTCTCTACTGGTGATTCTTCAGTAAGATTTCAATAGATTTGTGGTATACAAAGTGACTCTGTTATGATGTGGTGAGGAATTTATGTGGTTCTTAAGAATTTTTTTTAAATAAAAATAAATGTTAAAATAATCCTGAACATTAATTTAATTGGATGATTTTTCATTTTTCTACATCTGCCTAATGAGTTTGATCTAAGTATGTGTGTCTCTGCAGCTGCTACTTCTTACCTTTGGTTGTTTTCATTTTTCAGATTGCAAACTAGCTAGGGGAGGACCACCAGCTACCATAGTTGCTATTGATGAAGAAAGTCGGAATGGTGAGTCAGTTTTATAATTTACAAATTACTCTTCTAAGAGGAGTTTCTTCTAATTTCTATCCTAGATTTGTGACATGTGGACATACTACATGAAAGCTTAGATACAAATTAAAAAATAGTTCCCTTTTTGTGTCTTCCATGTGTGGATTTAAATTACACCATTGCCTAGAATGCTTTACTTGGATTTCATTATGAAAGGTCTTTTCCATTACAAAAAAAAAAAAAATTTGGTCTTGGGCCTCCCTGGTGGCGCAGCGGTTGAGCGCTGGGTTGCGAAGCTGCCCGCAGCCTCTGCAGCGCCAGTTCCATCCGGGCAGCCGGGCTAGAGTCCCACATGGCGCTCGGACCTCTCCTGCGGCCCGCTGCTCCCTTCAGCAGAGTACTTCGGTCCTTCTGCCTGTTCTGCTCCCCGCTCTGGCTCTGGTGAATTATCTCACCCTCCCGCGCTTCTGACTGTAGCCAGTACTTGTATAAATAAATAAATAAATCTTAAAAAAAAAAAAAAATTGGTCTTGATTGTGAAGAATTATGTGATTCAGGAGCAGTCCAAGAATGCATTCAGATATGGTCTGAAATTTCTCTTTTCTAATATGTAGAGAACAGTATCATACATATACTCATCTTATCATCTAACTGAAACACATTACATTCCTTTAAAAAAAAAAAAGTGGAGCACATAATTAGCCTTACACTGCTAAATTAGAGTGGCTTGGATCTGAAAAGGATTAAGATTCATAGCCTAGTAGACATGGTAATTTCAGAATAGTTAATGGGGAAGCTTTGGGCTTGTGCAGAGAGAACCTGATCAAAGATCTGAGCAGAATCTGAATTCTCACTCAGGTTGCATGCAATAATTAATAAATAATAGCTAATTCATGTCAAGTTCTTCAAAAGATAATTTTATGTATCAAAACACAAATAATTAAAATTATTTTTTTCTTCAGCTATAACCTCCTACTCTCTAAACTGTAATGTGTGAATAATTAAAGTTTCTATTCTCTGAAAACACAGTTAAATAATAATCTCTTAAGACTTGGTTTCTATTTTAAACTATTCTAAGTGTTAGAATGTGCTAATTCTGGAGAGAACCTTTCACTGGATTTGTTTAATTTGCACTTTCTGTCTATTCTAAATAGTTTTCCATATTTATTTTTTAAAGAGAAATTATATCAAGTGGTTTGATAGAGAATGATGGTTTTTTTTCTGTAATTCACTCTCCATATATTTTGAATTCTATAATATATAATACCTACATTGATTCACTTAATCACAGATTCTTTGATATGCATTAGAAATACTCATTTTACTCCTTTGAAAAGTTGTAATAAACATTTATCTTGTATATATTTAGGAAATCAATCTAAAATACCCGTGACATTGCTAGCCTCTGTTTAAAGAAATGTGATCTTATATACTAATACTAGCAACACTCAGACAATCACAAAAAGTTGAGTATTTAGTAATCCTGCATCTTGTGTTATCAGAGAGGAGAAAATCTTATATTATAAATACAATCACCCCAAAAATCTGTCTCATATGTACAATTATGGTTATCTGTTTTTCTATGAACAAATCTATATTTTATAAATGTTCTATAATGAAAGCAGTTTGTCTTTTTAGACAAAGGGTGATGGTGGGGAGACCATGACAGAAGACCAAGTTATTATCATTTTGTTCACAAATTCCTTTGAATATAAATTGAGCTAAACTAAACCATTTAGTTTTACTAAATCATTTTGTTTTAACTTATGACTCTATATAGAGCTCATTTTGCCAACCAGATAATTATAACCACAGTAATAATAGTATTTTATCCTCTTATCCCCCCCCCTTACTGATTAGATTCCTTTTTTCAAGGAGCTAAGGGACTCTACATAGATGTTGCCATAGCAATGTTGTATGGTGGCATGTGGTGAAAGTTCAATATTTCTGTTTTAGAAGAATGTGACATGATACAGTATAATAATGTTGTGCTCTTTAATTGGCATATTTTATAAAAACTGTCAGCTACTCAGAATGCTGCCAAAGTTATTTGAGTATTATCACAAGGAGTATAAATATCAATCTAGAGACTAAATTTTTCACATCTTTCTTTTACATTAAAATTCTAAAAATATGGTAATCAAATGAAACTCTGCCAGATATTATAATGTAGTGTGTAATCATCCTTGTCAAAATGTCTAAAGAAAACAATCCATAAAAATGTTGTTCATATTTCTTCAGGCAATCCAAAAATCTTCCCAATAATGAAACTCATTTTAATTCTGCTTTTAAATTCAGTTAATTTCTCTTTTCCCAAATATTTTAATTGGTGGTAATACATATGGGTATACTATTTTACTAGAATAATAAGCTCTAATTTAATAAAATATTCTGGGCCTTCTTAAATGTAAGGTATAGCAAGTCCTTTAATAAGATAAACTATTGTGTGTCAACTTATCTTTGGTTGACTTCATTGATACCTACTGCTAAACAATCTCTAATGCTAAAGGCATACTCTACTAAGAATAGCTTTTATTTTTTTTTCAGATTTTATTTTATTTTATTTTTTAAAATAAATTTTATTTTTATATTCCCCATACAATTGCAACCCCCTTATTTTGACCCCAATCCCTCCCCTCCCCACCCCCCACCCCCCATAGAGTGTCTCTGGCTCATAGTTGTTTGCTGATTTTGATTTTCACTTTCTTATAGTTATTCATTTTCCTGGTCCCTTATTTAAGTTTTCTAGATTCCTGCTATGAGTGAGATCATCCAGTATTTTTCTTTTTCTTTCTGGCTTATTTCGCTGAGCATGATCCCTTCCAGCGCCATCCATGTTGCTGCAAATTGCATGTGTTTATCTTTTTTGAATGCTGAGTAATATTCCATGGTGTATATGTACCACATCTTCTTGATCCAGTCATCTATTTTGGGCATTTGAGTTGTTTCCATAGCTTAGCTATTGTAAACAGTGCTGCTATAAACATAGGGGTGCAGGTGCTCTTTGGAATTGATGTTTCTGTGTCCTTTGGGTAAATACCTAGAACAGCTTTTAAATAGCTCAGATTGGGCCTTCCTGGTCGCGCAGCGGTTGAGTGCTGGGTTGTGAAGCTGTGCCGGTTTGATCCCCGGCCTCTGGGCGAGGGTCACACATGGCGCGCAGACCTCTCCTGCTTCCTGCTACTTCTCTCAGCAGTGTGTTCTGTCAGTCTGCTTGCTCTGCTCCCCTCTCTGGCTCTGGTGAATCTCTCACCCTCCCACGCTTCTGACTGTACCCAGTGCTTATATAAACAAACAAACAAACAAATAAATAATAAATATTAAAAAAAAAGAATTTTCACTTAAATAAATAGCTCAGATTTGTTTTTAAAATTTTTACTTAATATTCTTATGTATGTACATTTATAGAATATCCATATTTGTCACATGTATGCATCTTGCCAGAGTTTTATACTTTTTGAGATGGAAATATTTCCTATTTTTGAGAATGCATACTAAATGCATTGGCACTGTATATGTCTGAATAATTGAAAAATTAGCAGGTAGTGATTCATAAACTTCCATCTCACTATGGATCCTATTGGATTCTTCTTTTTCTTGGCTATTATCCTTAGGAGCACATTGATAAGAGTCATTATATCACCCTCAGTCTGATCCAGGGGTTCATTTTTATCACAACTACCAGAAAATTAAAACTGTTTTTAAGAACACAGAGGCCACATGAGGAGACACACTGGCTTCTGACCTTCAGAGAGCTCTTAAGCTACTCTGAACAACATGTTTAATGTGCAAGCATATTTTTAGGTTAGAAGGTATGCAGAGGAATAGACATAACATATCTTGTACAATAACATGAAAATGTCTAAAATTTATTTCTGGAAAACTCATGTCCACATAACTTGCATATGTGCATAGCAGCTTTACTCATAATTGCCAAACTCTGGAAGCACCAAAGTGTCCTGCAGTAACCAAATGGATAAATAAACTGTGGTACATCTAAACAATAGAATATTATTCAATGCTCAAAAGAAAAGAATCATGGAGCAATGATAAAGATATATAGGAATCTGAAATGCTTATTAAGTGAAAGAAGTCAATCTGAAAGACTCATGCTGTATAATCTCACCTAGAGGACATTCTGGAAAAGGCAAAGATATGAAAACAATAGAAAGATCAGTACTTGCTAAGAGTGGAGGAGGTGGTGAACAGGCAAAACATAGAGGATTGTTAGGGCAATAAAATTTCTCTGTATGATATTACAATGAACAATACATTTTATGATATATTTGCTCTCACCCATAGAATGAACAACATGAAAGGTGAACCTTAAAGTAAATTATAGACACTTGGTGATTATGATATGCCAATGTAGGTTCATTTTTTTAGAAGATTTATTTGTTTATGCATACAAGAGCTGGGGCACAGGCCAGGGATGCAGGGGTGAGAGGATCCACCAGAGATAGAGTATGGAGCAGAGAAGGCTGAAACACACTGCTGAGGGGAGCAGCAGGCGAGCCAGGCGAGACAGGAGAGGTCTGCAGTGCCATATGGGTTTCTCCCTGGCCGGCCGGGGATCGAACTCGTGCTGCAGTGGTTGCACTCATGCTGCAGTGGTTGCGGATTGCTTCATAGTGCAGTACTTAACCCCTTTTTGCCACTAGGGAGGCCCTTTAGGTTCATTCTTAGTTAAAAAAAAAAAAGGTAATAATTCTGGTGAGTGATGAGTGATGTTGATGTAACTAGGGGCTGATGGCATATGGGAAATCTCAATATCCCAATATTTCCCTTTCAATCTTATTTTAAACCTAGAAGATTTAAGAAATAGTGTTAAAACCCTTTGGAAATATGTCTATCTTCACTGAACTCAAGAGTTGCTTATATCATTGCATCTTTACTAGAAAGAGATCCAGGAGCAGTTACGCTGGATCTATTTAAAGTCTGCTGCTGAGTGTCAGCCAAATCAAAGCGTTGGTTGTTTAACAATTATGAAAGGCATACAAACAGATTTTTGAGCTGCT